TATTCTAGAAACGATTCGTAGTCTTTTGATTCAATCCAATACACCTCATACTCTATGGGTCGAAGCTTTACATACAGCCATCCATCTCATAAATCGTCTTCCTACAGTTACGATCCAATACAAAACTCCATTCGAAATGCTCTACCAAAAGTTACCTTCCTACACTCATCTCAAAACTTTCGGATGCTTATGCTTCCCATGGTTGAAACCTTACTCCAAATCCAAATTGTCTCCTCTGTCCATCCCATGTGTGTTTGTCGGTTATGCTTTAAACCAAAAGGGATTCCGGTGTTTTGATCCTAACACTCAGAGGATATTTGTATCCAGACATGTAATTTTCAATGAAACCAAATTCCCATTTCAAGATCAATCCCTTCAGACACATAAAAATAATCACCGTGTTCCAGAAAATCAAATCCCGCCTCTATTACTAGTTCCTACATCCTCGGTAATTACAGCAGGTAATCCGACAAATAATTCCAACCTTGCCATACCGTCACAGGTTACTCAACTTCATTCAAATTTTCCAAATTCCTCTATATCTCCAACTGAAACATCACAGGCTCCGTCTGTTCCAGTCAAAAACCTCAGATCTCACAAAATGCAGACCCGTTCACAAGCGGGTATTCTCAAACCCAAGCCTGTTTTTGATCTTACTCATCAGGTAATTACACCTGATCCTACCTCTTACAAGGAGGCAGTTAAGCATGAACATTGGCGGCAAGCAATGTCACACGAATATCAAGCTTTACAATCTCAAGGTACATGGACTTTAGTTCCACCAACAGATAACCAAAATATTCTTGGTTGTAAATGGACTTATCGAACCAAATACAAATCAGATGGTACACTGGCAAGGCACAAAGCTAGATTAGTAGCTTTGGGATACAATCAAGAGTTTGGTATTGACTACATTGAGACATTTAGCCCGGTTGCTAAAATTACAACTGTCCGTGTGTTGTTAATCTTGGCTCTTCATCATCAATGGGCAATACATCAACTGGATGTATCAAATGCATTCTTGCACGGAGAGCTATCTGAAACAGTTTTTATGAAGCAACCAATTGGTTTTGTGGATAATCAACATCCCACATATGTCTGTAAATTGAATAAGGCACTGTATGGACTCAAACAAGCACCGCGCAAATGGTTTGAAATGCTCATAGGCTTTCTTCATCAACTTGAATTCACTACAAGTCATTCAGATCCTTCCTTGCTCATCTATCGGAAGGATACTTCAAAAGTTTATGTGCTCATATACGTAGATGACATTATAGTCACGGGCAATAATTCATCTGTTATCACTCAGCTGTTGGAACAGCTTCAGCACAAGTTCAAAATGAGGAAACTGGGTTCATTAAATCAGTTTCTCGGTATTACTGTCACTCATACACCAACTGGTATGTTTCTTCAACAGACAAGGTATGCGGAAGATATTCTGGCAAGAGCTGGTATGCAAAACAGCAAACCAGTATCTACACCATGTTGCATCAAGAAAGCGTCCGAAGGCAATACCGAGCTGTTCTCAAACCCGCAATTGTACCGACAGCTTATCGGTGCATTACAATATTTGACGTTGACACACCCAGATATTTCATATGCGGTAAATCGAGCATGCCAACAAATGCATCAACCAAGAATCAATGACTTTGATGCACTGAAACAAATATTAAGATATATTCGAGGAACTACACAGTTTGGTTTGCCTATTAACGGTAGTTCTTTAACACTTCAATCCAATGTAGACTCGGATTGGGCAGGCGATCACACTGATCGTAAGTCTACAACAGGATATTGTAACTTCTTAGGTACATCACTCATATCTTGGAGTGTTAAAAAGCAGACAACCATAGCACGGTCGTCTACTGAAGCAGAGTACCGGGCCATTGCGCTAGTCACAACTGAAATCATATGGCTACGACGACTACTACATGAGCTAGATTGTCCTCAACTAGAACCAACCAAATTTTATTGTGACAATACTTCGGCAATTGCATTGGCAAATAACCCGGTATATCATGCACGTACCAAACACATCGAAATCGATTGTCATTTCATTAGAGATTGTATAAAGAATCATAGCATTCAAGTACATCATATCTCAACCAAGGATCAACTAGCGGATTTGTTTACCAAATATTTGTCTGTTACACGGTTTAAGCTACTGGCTCACAAACTGATCAATCCTATCGATTCATCCGTTTGCCAGGGGGTATTAGGAGATAAAAATAAAACACAAACAACAAGCTAGTGACCAATAATACCATCACACGTGTAATAGCTATAAAGCCAATGTATGTTGTAAACTCTATAAATAGAGATGTGTAATCACAAAAGCTGTAATTAAAATTTACACTTTACGCTCTCATACTTCTGTTTCTTGAATTGTCGGCTTAACAGCCAAGGCAAGTTTTCAATAATAAGATAAAAGACAAAATGAATGTTGTGAAGAAAAAAAAGTAGAGTAAGATTTTGAATAAAATAGTTTAAGGGGGGCTATTTGATTTGAAGTAAAATAGGTGTAAAATATTTTAAATGTAGTGATCTTTAAAATATTGATGTTTAGTATGAAGTAAAAGAAACGTTAAGTAAAATTTTAAAGCATTTGGAATGCATCATCTAGCCCAATTTGTGTGTATTTGGAAACCGTTAGATCAAGCTGATTTCAAATGCATTGAAATTTTTTTTGTCATTTTTGATGCAAGTTGCCGACAATCACCACCTACGACTCGGGCTATAATCGACTACCAAAGTTGCCTCACCCGTCGCTAGCTACCGATGCCATTGTTTTTCGTTATTGATCGTTGCTGTTATTGGCCATCATTAGCAACCACCAGCCATCGTTGTTGTCACTGGCCTCCTTCAACAACATATACCGATGAGCACTAGCTATTTTTGCCGCCCCATTGTTCTCGCACCGCTGCTTTTTTAGACAGCCACCTATCGCCAATGCCTATCGTTCGCAACCCATCATTATTAATCATCACGTGTCTAGTTTTGATTGCTCTAGCCACCATAATTTTTAAGTTTTATGTTACATTTAGTTTTCTTCATATAAACATTCAAATAATATTTCAGCAAATCAAAGATTTACTGTGAAAGAAGGGAGAAATGGCATTTAAGCTACAATTTGATTTAATTTATTTGGCTGGGGCCAATTTTGGGAACTTTTATTTGGTCCGGTGAACGTACGCAACTCTACGTTCGATTGCCAGTAGAATCGCGCCACGCGTTTTCATTATTTACCGCGCGCCCCGACAACCCGACCCAGAACGGACCCAAGATTGCTCGGTATTGCTAGGTATTGGTCGATTTTGCTCGGCAATAACCAATACCGAACAATACCGAGCAAATACCTAGCAATACCGAGCAAATACCGAGTTGTACCGAGTTTTTTCTAGCAATACCGAGCAAATACCTAGCAATACCGAGCAAATCCCGAGCAAATACCGAGTTGTACCGAATTGTAGAAAAACTCGGTACAACTCGGTATTTGCATGGCATTGGCCTTCACAGAACGGTATTTCTCGTTTTTGCAAAGCAATACCTAGCAATACCGAGCAAATACCGAGC